TCACAGGGATGACGGCAAACTGACAAAAGACCAGGACACCGCCCAACATCAAGTTCGAGATCGACGACGTTGAGGATACATGGGTGGGCCACCAGCCGTACGACTTCATCTTCAGCCGATACATGGCGGCGTCTCTCGCAGACTGGCCAAAGTACGTGGGGAACATTTACGAGTAAGTCAAAGGCGATGCCTGTCGCCCACCGGTGCTGACCTTGGATTACTGCTTTTAAGCAACCTCAAGCCAGGCGGATGGGCCGAGTTCCAAGACTACAACCTCATGCTCGACTGCCAAGACGGCACGCTGGAGAACACGGCAGTATGCCGGTGGAACGCGCTGATGATGGAGGCCTGCGCCAGGCTAAAGCGCGAGGCGGCGCCCGGGCCGAAGCTGGAGGGCTGGGTCAGAGACGCGGGGTTCCAGAACGTCCGGCGCCGGGACTTGAAGATCCCCCTCGGCCCGTGGGCGAAGGACCCGGAGCTGCAGGATATTGGGATGTGTAACCTTGCGCAGACGCTGGATGGGCTGGAGGGGTTCACGATGAAGCTGTTTTGCGGGGTGCTTGGGTGGAATGAGGAGGCTGTGATTGTGTTCCTGGCCAAGGTTCGTCGGGAGCTGAAAAAGGGGGACATACATGGGTTCTTGAATTAGTATGTTGCCCCGGTGGTTGATGGAGGTGCATGCTAACATGGTACGCAGCTATGTGGTGTATGGGCAGAAACCATAGGGTTCATTACACGAGGGATAACGGCACCTTATGACATCCGAAAACAAGCGGCAGGGCCTCTGGAATAGTATTTAACACGCTTGCCATTACAAATGGATGTAGTAGAGCCGGTTTTCGGCGTAGATTTACAAAGCATAATCACCTGTGTTCCTACTCAGACTTCTTTGGCTGCCTGCTCGCAACGTTGGGATCGTTCTCGGAGTACGCGATGTATGTCCATCGCTCATCATACGGCTTCGTCTTGTCCACGAACCGCAGGTCCGTCGACACGCGAATGCGACCCTTTGGCGACTGATTCTTCGCCCCAGCATGGACGGCGTACGGAGTATGAAACACCACATCCCCAGCCTCGTATGCTCCCTATGAAACCCCATCGTCAGTAATCACAAGAAATCTGAAAGAAGGCGAGACTCACCACAAGCCAGCCGCGAGACCACTGCTCCCCAAACTTCTTCGCATTCCTATCCAGCCACCCGCCCTTCTCCATGTTCCTGTTAAACGCCGAGATCCTGTCCGCGTCGGGCAGCTCCGCATTCACCCTCGAAAACTCCTGCTCATACTTCTTCCCAATCTCAGCCGAGCGGTCCAGGTAAATCAGCCCGCCGCCCTCCAGCTCCACGTCCCCGATGGGCACCCACGCCGTCACGCTCGTCGGCGGCCCCGCGCGCAGGAAAATCTGGTCATAATGCACGGGCGTCGTCTCGCCCCCCGGCACGGCGCACCGCAGCAAAGACCGCGGGAGACACCAGGACTCCTCGAAGCCGGCGAGCTTGCCGACGAAGGGCTCGAGCTCGCGGCCGACTTTGTCCTTGAAGTCCTGATAGAAGGCGGCGCTGTGGCTTGCGATGGCGTTGTCGACAAAAGGGCCCTCGTCCTTGAGGCCGCAGGCGACGCGGACGGCGCCTGGCAGGAGGAACTCGCGCCAGTCGAGGCCGGAGAAGATGCCGTCTGCGGGGTCGGTGCCGGGCTTCAGCATGCCGGTGCCGTTGTCGACGAAGGTGAGGTAGTCTGAGCGCATTTTGTTGACCATGTCCGGGTTGAGGAGGCCCTTGATCTGTGGGAGTGTATTAGTGGGTGGGTGTGAGGGTCTGCGGGGGAAGGGGCGTACCCAGACGACACCGTCTTGCCAGTATCTCTTTTGGATCTCCTCGATGGGAGTGTCGGGGTAAACGGGTTGGAGTAGCCTGACATCGTCGAGGACACCGCCGTTGCCGTGTGGTGAGAGCTTCTCATCTTCCTGGACCACGGACTTTTCCTGTGAGAAGACAGGTTTTGAGTGGATGTCAGGGGCGCTGTAACCGAGGACTTCAGTCATGTTGGCGATGTTGACAACTCGTCTAATGTATTTGGACACAACTATCAATGGTAGCCGAGGAAGTTTCGCTTATGAAGGCAATGCCTTTGTGTCTGAGTTGACATGCATCCATTTTGGAGTCCTACGTGCATCTTCCGTCTTTATGTCCTCGAATCTTGTCGATTCGAATGGTCAGCTGGGGAGACGGTGCCACGAGTGATTGCCGGATACAGTAATGAGCAGTGTTCCCCGAATCATCGCCCGGAGGCGGGGGCGGGGTTGACGCCCGGGAAAGCTGTTGATTTCCTAATCCGGTAATTCTGGACCGTTCCCCGGAGAAGCCGTGGGAATCATGCAGATTCTTCGGGATGCCAAAGTTGGGGTCTCATGATGTCAATACGGGCTATTATGCTGGGGAAAAGCACTTCCAAGACTGCGTTTGTCTGTACTCCAGTTGGTACAACACTGATAGACGTTGGCGTTGTTTTCATGCACTCGACTACCTGGCTTCGACATCCACGTACTCAATAATAGCCGAAGTGTCAAAGAAGAGATTCGACCACGGCCCGCCAAAGTCCATCAAGGACGTCTCAAACGCTGGCATCTCATCAACAGTACATGCACTCGCTAACATATCCATCCCCGTCGACGTTGTCCTCGCCGTCACCTCTCGCAGCTCGTTCAGTATCTCAACATACCGCTGCCCCACCAAGTCGCCTTGCACACCGACCGGGAACTCGGCCATGGCCTCCTCTGCCGTTGCCCTGACGTGCGTCGCCTCGGGCCACAGGTGAGAGTACATGTACAGCGTGCCTAGCGCGGCGAATTGCATGTAATTGACCAGCCAGAACGCTCTCGAGAACAGGCCTCGCTGGCAGAGATAGCGGCACTCGTTGACGACCACCCTGGCCGCTTCGATGGACTTGTCGTGACACCTCTTGACCCACTGCTCGAGTCTCGATACGGCTCCGGTGGTAGGGTCCATCGAGTGGAGGATGAAAGGGCGGTAGAGCAGGAGACTAGCGTGCGCGAACATGAGTTTCAGCGTGCAAGTCTGGCGTTGGGTCATTGTAGATAGCGCTGATGGGGGCAGGGCGACGTAGTTGAGGTACGCGGGGAGGTTGTCCTGCCAGTCCAGCAGACTCTTCTCGAACTCGGCCGCGAATTGGTGTAGCTGGGTGATGCTGTTGTTCCGGGCCGCGGGACTGTAGAACTTTCTGAGGATCTTGCCTAATATCCTGGAGAGGCGAGCGTAGTGGATGAGTGCCGCGGCAGAGCAGAACTCTCCGTTGGGGGCTACTCGGCAGCCCGTTGCGGTGATGTCGTCGTCGTTGGCCAAGGCGCATTCGTCTTGGTCAATGTCATCGTCGTGTATGGCGCATGGACGGCCGAAAATGCTGCCGATGATTCGGTCGTTGACGTAGATGGCCCAGAACAGTCGTTTGCGATACTCGTGGGTGATGTGATTGCTCAACGGGCCGACGGAACGGCGGTGAAGGCCGAGGGCTTGGGCGTGGCGGACGACGATGCCGAAGGAGGACCAGGCTTCGTGCATACGCAAGTGGTTTAGCAGGTAGTGTGTCGCGAGAAGTCGTGCTTGGAGAGATGCAAACGTGATTTTACTGGATTCTCTCTGGAGCTGGCGGTCGGCCATGTGGTAAAATCGGACGCTTCATCGGTAAGGGTCAGTCTGAATCGCGAGGTATGGTGGGCCTTGACATAAGATACCTAGAAGAGTAACCGTAATACATGTTGTTGACTCTCGAGTAATGGGAACCAAGCGTCAGTACCATGTAAATCAGGGCCAGGGTGTCGTTGCTGAGACTGTCGTCCTGGCCGTCGCTGTAGAGCTTCTCAAACGACTCCATCAGAGTCGGCTCATGCACGAAGCGCGACGTGGTCAGGCCAAAGTCGAAGAAAGTCCGCACCAGTCTGTCGGCGACGGGCTTCGGAGGAAGAATCGGGGGCAAGTTGCTGGACTCGGCGAGTGGGTAGTCGGAGAAGTGAATTGACATTGACGGCAGACGGGCGAGTTTCTGCTTCGCCATGTGGAGGAAGGCAAAGTCGGAGGCGCCGCCATGGAAGTGGCCGTACTGGTCCTCCTGAAGCGGCCCGTCGGGAGTCTCGCTGGAGGTCCCATTCGCCGGTGGTGACGATTGAATTGGTGAGAAGTCACGAAGGCTATCTGGCTGGGCGCCGTGTGGGTGCTGCTGCTCGAAAGAGATTGTCGTCGCCGTTGCGATTGGCGATGGTGCCGAGGGTGTTGCTCGTGGGCGTCTCTCCGGCGGACAGGGCGATGCTGTCGTCGGCATGTACTGGCATGGCTGGTCGTGCTGCTGACAGCGGATACATGGTAGGTGGCCGGAACAACGAGTCTTCTTTCTTGAAAAGATATCAGTATTGGGATACGTTTTGTGAAATACAGCAACCCACTCTCTACAGGTCATGCAGGCATTCCTGATCTTCAAAGATGGCCCATTCTGGCCGTCAACATGAGTGCCTCTCCGTTTGCGTTTCTGGCCGGCTGTCTGTCCTGGTGTTTGATACGGAACAATTTTCAGTGGCGGTACTCGGGTAGAAGCAGCATGATCCATCTGTAGTCGACGGGCGCGAGTCGGCAATTACCAGGCACTTTACTCGCTTTTGAAAGAAGGCCGCCTCATATATGTAGCTGGCAAGCATCATTTAGATGCAAACGGGCAGCCGAGGTGAAGTCAAGGAGCAGGAACTGACAAAACCCCCTGTTTCTTACTGGCAGAGGGGCCGGAAAGGCGCTGCAGCCGGTGTGGAGAGGGGCACGTCAGGGCCCTAACCCACTGGGCTTCACTGGGATGGCATCAACTGGCTGTCTTTCTCCGTCTTCAACCGTGACGACCTCACCACTGCAATACTGTCGTGCAGTTGGTGTTTTGTCCTAGATTCAACGTGTAACTCATACAGCCCGTTCTTATATTGAGCTCACCTCCCACATCATCTACCAGTTACAACATGTACCTAAACCCACTTGCCCGCTGCGCCGCCGTCGGCCCGCTCACACCCAGCTCCCTCCCGTCGTCCATCTTCCGGTTCTCCCTCCGCAGATACATCCTCGTCACCGTCGCCGTCACAATCGCCGCCCCGGCCGCCACCAGATTCACCGTAAACGCGGCGAAATACCGCGGCGCCCCGTTATACAGGTACGGCGTCCACACGTTCGGCGTGTTGCACACCGACACGATCAGCGCAATCGCCGCCGCCCGCTTCGTCACCGGCTGGTTGATGGTCCCCGCGATCCACGACAGCAGCACCGTCGACCCCGCGTAGAAGGACGCCGGCATCAGCATCATGGCCGTGTACCGCGCCCCGACGTTGAGCGTCGACACGGCGATGACGTTGGCCGCGAGCGTCACCCCCAGCGGCGCCACGACGTGCCAGTACCGCTCGCCCGCGCGGTCCGAGTGGAACCCGTTGGCGAGCATCGTCGCGCAGCAGAGGATGAAGGGCGGCGCCGTCAGCGCGTAGGTCACGGTCCGCGAGTACCCCAGCGTCGCGACCACCGGCGGGAAGAAGTTGGTCACGCCGGCTGATGTGAAGATGCAGTACAGCGTCGCGAGCATGAGCCACGTCTTGGGGTCGCGGACGGCTAACATGAAGCCCTGCCGCGCCGAGACTTCGGAGCGGTCGTCGCTTTGGCCCTGGTCCTTTTCGTAGTTGAACTTGACCCATGCGCGTTCCGTCTCCGAGAGGGACTTGATGCCATCGGGCGAGTTGGGGAGGAGGAAGGCGAAGAGGAGGGCGAGGCCGACCGTGACGACGCCTTCTACGAGGAATAGCTGTTGACGTCAGTCGTGTATGATATAAGAGGAGTTAGTGTTGTGGTTGCTTACCCAGTGCCAACCTTCTAGCCCGTACTTGCCGTCCAGCTTCAGAATGGCGATTGCGAGCAAACCGCCAAACGCGTTGCCCAGCTGGGACCCCGAGTAGAACAGAGCTGCACGGAGAGCATACTGCCGCCGGTTGGAAAAAAAAGGGAGAGATAAAAGAGACCGCCCGAGAAGAAGACGGCCTTTTCAACGTCCATTATGAGGGGATAGGGGGAATGCGTATGGCCAGGCTCTCGAGTAAATATCAATGATAAAAGGTCTGCCGGACAGATATGACGGGGTCTAGTTAAGCACTCATTCTCGCGGTATATGTACTCATCATCGTTGGACTTCGCCAAAGCACGTTCATGTCACCTGGTCTGGACATCTTCTCGGCCTATTCCCCGCCCCTGACATCGCGGGGTTAGCTCCGGGGAAGGCCAGTCTGTGGTGGATGGGAAATCCGGGGTTGGAGAACCTCACTTTGCGGGGGACGGGTCTGCTTTCCCAGACTACACTATCAACACGGTTCCCCGGGCATTTCCGCCCTTCACGACGCAGATCTCGTATGTTTCCGTCTCGGGGCGAATTCGTGCATGAGATAAGGGAACTGATGTGCCGGATAAATCTCTCCTGAGGAACTGCCATTGGCCGTTGAATACCGGCCGCAAGACGTGCATATATTGGACCCTTTCTTTGGTTGGCCGCGCATCTTCACTCTCATGGCGACACTACTGCAAAGTCTGACGTATGCAATGGTCAAGTCATTATCATCATTCTAGTCATACCCTCTATAGACATCCCACATCACGCAGCACACTCAGCCAGGTCCCCCTCCCGCAGCGCCTCAAGCAGCACCCGCGCCGTATCCCGATCCGTCCTGTCATCCCCGCCGTGCGTGAGATCCCCCCACGCCGTCTCAATCCACCCGTTCGGCCCGTCGTGCCCGGGCATGCCGTCAAAGTACATGCCGTCAAAGTCGCCCTCCACGCTGACGGACTGGTCGTCCAGCGGGAACGCCGCCAGCACCTCCGCGGCCAGCCCGTCGATTCCTTCTGAGGGTGGCCGGTCTGCCATGCTCACGTCGCCCCCCGCGCCGTTCCCGCGCGGGGACGTCCCGTCCGTCGCGCTGTCTTGGCTCTGCGATGTGGGCGAGTTGCTGTCTTCGTCGGAGGGGATGACCGTCACCGTGCCCGGTTCCATGCGGAAGAGGCCCGGCCGCAGCGTGCCTGTTTCAAAGTCCATCATCGACGCTGTAGATCCAAGGCCGCCGAGAGCGCCGAGACCCGCCCTGCTCTCGTTCCGTTTCCTTTCGAGGAGTGCCTTGAGCGGGCTGAAACCGCCCGTGAACAGGCCGCGGAGGCTGACCGGAAAGTCGCCGTCCTCGGGGAGTCGTCCCTTGCTGAGTGAGAGGTCCATTGTCAAGGCGAGACGGAGGTATGAGCTGGGCTGCGAAGCTAGAATGTCCGTCCAGTCCGCGATCACGGCGCCGCCCTCATTCGCGCTCGCAGGAGCCTCCCCGGTTGCCGAATCTATCTGCGCCAGATTGACGATGTGCCGTATCGTCTCGCTGACCCAGTCGACGCCATCATATTGCGGCTGGTACGTCTTCATGGCCTCGATGAGGATGTTGAGGCGGTGCTGCTTCAGCGCGGACTGCGTGTTCGGATCGAATGAACGCGACGAGGCGGAGAGCTTCACGTCGAGGATGTGTAGGACTAAAGGTAGGGCGGTGCATGCGACGGCACTGATGGGTAGCCATCGGGCTAGCCTCAGATGGATGAGTTCTTTTAAGCATTCTGTGACGCCGGACGCTGCGTCTTGGAGCTCGTGTCGGTTCTCTCCGATGATGACGAGGTCTGATGTGGGTATGGCGCTGAATGAAGGGGCGGCGGCCGTGATTGCGAGGTGTAGGACTTCGTGATGGCTGAGAACCACGCGTGAAGAGCTGCTCATGTCAGCGACGATGCTTGAAAATGTGAGAAGGGCGGGCAACTTACTGATAGTACATGTACATCAGGTTGGTGTACAAGATCACCGAATCGTGCTGGAACTCATTCCCTGGCGACTTCATCCTCGCGACGGAGCCGCCCCCGAACATGGGGAATCTGAGCGTGGCGCCCTTGTACCACCTGCGCAGCGCCATCTTACACCCGCGCACCCGGTCCTGCTCCTCCGCGCGCATCTCCCGGCCCCAACCGGGACTGTCGTCCAGCGGGAACACCAAGATGAGGATATCCGTCAGCACGACGCACAGCTCGACGAGCTGCTCCAGGATCTCGGCGAGGCACCGCTTCGTGCCGGGGTTGTACACCCTGCTGCGCTCGATCTCGTCCGCAAAGTCCGAGTACCCCAGAATGCCGTTGGCGTCGAAGTCGAAGTGGCTGCGGGTGATCTGGACGCCGCGGCGCATGCCGAGGCCAACGATGCGGTCGCGGATGATGCAGCACCACCACAGCCTCTTGAGCAGGTTGCGCTTCTTAGGGGGTGCGGTGCGGGTTGCGTAGTGGTGCGCCTCGACGGTCTTCGCGTTCTGGATGGCGATGGTGAGCCAGGCGGTGTTTTGCTTCCGCAGGGCGGGCGATGATGGAGGGGACCAGAAGGAGAGCAGGAGGGCGGCTTGGGAGATGGCGAGGGGCGAGGACTCGGATTCGAGGTCGTAGAGGAGCTTTGCGCGTCTGTAGAACGCGGCGCGGGCGGCGCGTATTGTGGCGAAGCCCAGGGTCTTTATTGTTTGGCGGGAGACGAACTGAAATGAGGTCAGTGAGACGTTTTGAGAGGCGTCTGTCAGTGAAACTCACATTACATGAGGCGAAGAGCATTGCTTGGAAGAGAAGTAGTGACAATCGGTCGCTTGGCATACTGCTCGGGTTCATGCAATACACGTCCCAAAAGTCTCCCTCGTTGAGCATTGGGAGGAGGGGATGTACGTGGAGAAAGTACTGCTGGACAAACTCGTCGAGGATCGCGCGCGTCGGTATCCTTAGACAGCCCTGCAGCTCGAGGAAGTTGACATCTTGAGGAGGGATGTTGTGAAGGTTGCCCAGGGCCAGGAACGGGTAGAACGAGAAGGTGACGTCCAGGTTGAGGTGCCGTTGGTCGGCAGATAGCTGTCCTTCAGGGGCGCTATTCAGAGGTAATGAACCGGCCGGGAGAGACTCGAAGCTCGCTCCTGTTGCGGTCGAGGGCTTAACCGTGTGTCCATGGCCGCCGTGTTCATGCCTGCAAGTGTTCTTGTCCGCCGTCGGGCTCTTTTGTCGGTCATTGTCCGCAGCTAATGGCGATGAGTCGTCGCTGTGGGAGTGATCATGACCATGATGCTGGCCATTGGGCTCAGTCAATGGTATTGTCTTGCCGTCGCTGCCTGTTGCCGCAATGGGGTCGACATCGTGAGTATGCTCTCCAGATTCGGCGCCGTACGGCGGGTAGGACGCCTCTGCGTTGTCTGCATTCGCGGCGTCATCTCTCTGCTGAGCTCGCCGGCTGTAGACGGTCAGCAGTAGCACAAGAAATGAAAGCAGTTGCGATTCCACTTACAATCTTGAAGCTCTCCCTGTCACAACACATGTCTCGCTGTCGAGATAGCAGTTCATACACGGACGGCCACGCTGTGAGACATCACATCTCACTTTGCGAGCGCGACACGACAGACACGCCTTGGGAGCGCGCTTCCGGATCTTGCTCTGTGATTTGGGTTTGGAAGACTCCGCAGCTGCTGCTTCAGTTGCCATGATGTGGGTTCGACCGGGACACTGTATATGCTTGCGTGGTATCCGTGGAGAGAGCAGGACTGACCGAGGTGAAGCTCGTCTATCGGCAGTGACTACGGGTCGAGAAAACACACGAGGATGTCGGGAAAAGTTCAACTTCCCAGATCAGGATGGACCGAAGACGGAGGATGGGGACGGGACACGGAAAGCAGTTTGCGGGGTGTGGGGAAGAGGGGAGACTGCATGGAATTTCTGGAGACCAAGTCTGGGGGTCTGGAGCCGTCGACGATCCTTTGACGCTACACGTCTGGGGATATCAATAGCGGTGGACTACTCGTCCTGGACAGTGGACACGGAGCTTGGGGGCATGCAGCTCGCGGCCGGAAATTATGACCAGGGGAAGCTATTCCCCGTCCCCGTCCGTTGCGCCGGCGGCATGGTTTGTGAAATCGGATTGATCGGAACTGAACGGCTTTCATTTGCTGACTCGTATATCCATGTCCCTTGGCAAAACGCTATCCAGCATCACGAACTGGAGGCTCGATCTCGAAGAAGAAGGCCGAGGCTGGAAGTGGAGGGATGGGAATTGACAGAGCAAATGAGAGTCAGGAAATCGTTTGCCGATGACACCAGCCGAGTCTCGAAGGGAGACATCCCAGAACTTCTCCACACGAGCTCGGCGCCGAAAGCCAATCACCAGCGATGTAACTCTCTCCAACTGACCATGCAGGTCGAGTCATTAGTGCCTCTCCGAACCCCGAATCTCGGAACATTTCCGCACGCAACCCACCCCAGGGGACGAAGCACCACACCAGACGCGGAACTGACAGGTCCATTCCGTCATATTCAACTGCCTCACCTGCACTGCCGTTTTGTTTTAGGTTCGATCTGATGTATCAATGCACTCTGATGTCGATCCAATGCCAGGATCAGCATGAGATCCTTCCCTCAGAATCGGAATCCGACGATGATTCTTCGCTCTCAATCGGCTTGAACACCCAATCGCCATCTTCCTCTCTCAACAAGCACACCTTCTCGTTCCCGACGCGCTTGTCCAACCCGTTGGGCAGGTCCATGCCATCGCCGACTTTCAGGAGGATCGAGGGATCGATCCGGCAGAACAGCATTGGCAGCGAGTCGCTCTTCCACACAGATATGTCATCGCGGGCTCCCCGGATAATGGTGTGGAAGAGATAGCAGATGCTGATGACAATCAAAGCCGTCGGGAAAATGAGCCACCACCACGCGACGATAATCATCTGCCTCTCCATGAAAGCCGGACAGCCATACCGCTGCTGGTCTCTCTGCTCGTTCCGAATGTGCCCATGAAGTCTAACCTCATTCGTGAGACTGGTGCTGAACCGACCGATCCAGTCTTTGAGGTTTCCTTGAGCGTTGTAGAGACCCTCGACCCAATCTGAGGAGAAGTTGATGATGGTGTACTGTTTTTCGTACGTTCCCTCAAGCAGGGGGTCTGTGAACCTCTGTAGTGCCGCCAATGCCTCCTTGGTGACGCTGTATCGAGATGAATTCGTAACGTTCATTACATCAGGTATGTCAATGAAAACATACTCGCCGAAATGCGCGCTGTTGGCCTTCTTAAAGCGTGTTGTGTGCCATTTTTTGTTTTCGGGAACTGTCTGATTCAAACCACCGTCACCAGCCTTGATCGTGTAAGTCTTCATGCAGAACCACAGGGCGCATTCATGTGCATGTATCTTGGTCTTCCGCCTCGTTCTCGACACCCAAAGAAAATCAAATACGTTGATGTAGGTGCGTGAAGTTGAATTCATGTGATGGAAGATGCCGTCAGGCGAGTTCGTCACCTTGAACCTTTCCGTGTTCGGCGAATTGGCGACATCAAATGAAGTGCCAGATGGCGTCCTATACAGGCAAGTCTGTGACTTGTCGGTGCACGTGGTCTCGACGTTCAAGTTGTTGCATTCGCCGCAAACCGCAAGTGTGGGAACGGCTTCCCATGTACAGGTATGGTTCTCAGGTTTACAGTCGGCTCCGATATCCTTGACATCGAGCGAGAAAATACCGCTATAAATGGCGGCTTTCGTGGATCCGTTTAGGGCCGGCACTGCGTGTTGTCAGGAGAAGTGAAGCGACGAGAAGACATCTACTTACGAGGATCGAGTGCCCGCTTTATCGTGTAGTCCTACAAATCACTTCTCGGAGGAGGCTCGACTAGACCTGCTGTTTCGTTTTTCCATGGCCTGGGCTCGTATTGATACAGCTGTTGAGAAGATGCCTCAAGTCCATGGACCAAGATGACGATCAAGGCCCCGATGCATGCCAGGTGCCTGTTTTGCAAAGTTAATGGTGGGATTGATCAAGAATGTCGGGGGCTGCATCCATTACCTTGCCCTTAGACGCCAAATAAGGCAGATGCTCCCCCAGAGACCGCGCGAGGCCTCGTCGTATATCTTGAAGTCTTCAAGCCTTGCGCGCATGTCGTGTGTACGGCTTTGGCGCGCGTCAGAGACCCAAATCCAAGCGGCCTGGCTGATGCAAGATTCGACAATGCCACTCATTGCAACGCGGACACATGTGAACATGGCGACTATGATGACGTCGAAGTCGACGCCTAAGGGCAGCACTGGTACCAAATCCTTATCAAATCTTTTGAAAATGATTCCCAAGGCAATCGCCCCGATGATGCAGACCACGACGAGGAGGTATTCGTCGATCCACTATTTCGAGATGGATCTCCAGTTGCTCTTCGGAAGAGGCCTTGGAGGACCTTCGTTTGCATCGTCGTCGTCAACAGCGCCATCGTGGTCAATCTGGGTCAAGCGGATGTTTTCGGTTCGTATTCCGCCAAATCGGAGATTCATGGTGTGGCGGGTGAGGAGGAATAGAGTAGTTTCCTGATTATAAGATAGGAAGAGCCGAAAGAGGGGTGCTAAAGATGCAGTTTGTAGAGGATAATAGGTAGGTCAAGCGGTTGCTGCCATCATCTTAGGTGAGTGATGCGACGTTGATATTTTGGAGATGGCAGCGCAGAAGGATTGTTGTCTGAATGAAGTCGCGACGATACCCGAGGCATCGAGCAGTGGGCAGCCATCGTGCGCTCGACTTTTCGTGGAAGGAAACCTCGTCTATCTCTCATTCCCCGGCAACTGCCTGACGAAGGGTCGTCCTTTCCTTGATGCGAAGAGGTTGGTGCAGACCTATTGGATATGCACGACGATAAGGGACGAGGCAGGGAGGGCGGGATGAAGGAACCTCCTTAGGTAATGTTCGGCTCGCTGCGTCTCCCCGATAGGAGTGATTCGCCTGTACAGCGCTGGGCGGGCTACCAATGCCCATCCTGAGAGATTTTACACTTTTTTCTTTAGAAATCGGCGACTGAGGAAATTTGCATTGGTAGCCGTCCAGTCGTAGAGCTTGTTATCAACGATGCATGCCCTCTTCGTTGCTCTTTTGGGCCTTCAAGGCACAGTTGCGTGGCAGCTCCCCCACCGGGTCCTGGCCAATTCCCCTCACGGCCAGATGCCCTTGACCTTTCAAACCAATGACGACGACATCGACATCTCCGGTGCCGATACCATCGCTGGACTGAAGACCTTTGCCAATCTGCCGTTTGTGGATTGCTTCTCTGGCGGGGACGCCGAAGGTCAATTATATGACATTGCCATCTTCGGCGCCCCCCACGATACAGTCCGTCCACCCCGAATCCAACATTAATCAGCGTGTACATCTGACTTGATGCACGCAACAGACAACTACTGGCCGCCCGGGAGCTCGATTTGGCCCGCCGGCAATTCGCATGGGCAGCCAGAGAAAAGGGCCTGGGCAGTGGGACATTTTCACCGGTCGGCTTCCCCCCACCGGTCGCACAAGTCGGTCCTCTAGCTGACCGTCCTCATAGGTCGCGACCCCTTGCAGAGTTGGGCCAGAGTGGTCGACTGCGGTGATGCACGTCTTACATGGTTGGATAATACCGTTTCCCTGAAGCGACTTGACAAGGCACACAAGGTGACAGGTCTTTAGCTCCAAATCCAGGAACAAGATGCTAATGAAGACAAGGGCATCTCCGGACGACCAGCAGCAAACTCGGCCGTGTCTGTCACACCCAGGATTCTCGCCTTGGGCGGCGACCACACGACTACACTGTCAGCTCTTCGGTCGACGTATGAGAAATGGGGACCTGTCTCTGTCATTCACTTTGATAGTCATATTGGTACGTCTCAACGACCACTGACCACCGTGACACCAGTTGCTGACATTGGAGTTCAGATACGTGGGACCCTTCCGTTCTTGGTAAGTGCATCTCACTGAAATATGTGTCGATGCTTATGCTCAAGCCTTTCAGGTGGAGGCATATCAGATTATGCGTGTGTTGAAAAGTCACTCTTCATGTACTCGTCTTTGAGACTGACTTGCTGCTAGTGGCCTCAACCACGGTACCTTCCTACATATTGCCCATGAAGAAGTAACCAAATCTGGAGCAAAATTGCATTTGATCACAACTGACACCGCTAGCACCTCATCCTGAACACTTCCATCCATGCCGGAATTCGCGCCCCTCTTATCAGACGAAAGGGTGATCTGAGAAACGATGTTCGATGCGGCTTTGAGATAGTAACTGCGCGGGACCTCGACAAGCTCGGCGCGCAGGGCGTTATTTCCAAGATCAAGGAGCGTGTCGGTGACTCCAAGGTATACATCAGTGTTGACATAAATGTCCTTGATCCCGCTTTCGCTCCAGGTATTTTCGACTGGCCCGTTTAAGCTTCGCGAAATGCGTGCTAACACATATCAGCTACCGGGACGGCTGAACCAGGAGGCTGGTCAACCCGAGAGCTTCTCACAGTTCTCGAAGGTCTAGAAGGCCTTTCAGTTGTAGGCGCCGATGTGGTCGAGGTGGCACCTGTTTATGACAACGCAGGCGAAACGACAGTCCTGGCCGCGGCCGAGGTCGCCTATTCCCTCATCGACCTCATGGTCACAACTCCTGTCAAGTCAAAGGCTGACCTGGAAACCGGCCAATGAATCCTAGCCATATCCATGAAAGATCTCACAGAGAGATGTAAAGGAAAGATCAGTGCTCACCCAATGTGATAGACAATAAGGGACCTGCTTGTCGAGGCGACATGCACAGGCGCCTTTGTTCAAAGTCGTATAGGGCCTCGAGATTTTGTTTTCTGATTTGTGTACCAGAAACTTCAAAAACAATGAAACCGTATCTCTTACACCGCGACTGTTCAAGGATCAAAGCCGGCCACTTTGACCTTGCCCAACAGCATTCTTCATCTAGACAAAGGCAACTCGAGGTGTTCGTGCAGTTAGCGGGCAACTCTCCACTGACAAAGCCCATTGTGACTTACCAAGCATTGTTCTTTCACTTGGTTTGCAGGTTTCGACGACCATATATCACATGTTCCAGCCGGCTCAATAGTCGATCTCAACTCAACTCAGCTCACAACTCGCACTCACACAATACTCGCACTCACACAATAATCTTCGTCGAGTATCATTCATCACAGCATCAATTTCGAATCCATAATCAAATTGATCAACACCGAGGGCGTTTTCGAATTGTTTGGACATGGGATTGGGTTCCATCATCTCGAATGATTCCGACATGAACACCCCCGAAAGCCCCCAAGATGTCGCCATGTCCTTTGCCCTCGACTCCCATCTCAACGTCAACGCCCCCGTTCCTCAATACGTGCGAGACTCATCTTCGTCTACACCCACTCACTCGTACGACACTAGCAGCCTCCCAGACTACAAAGAGCCAGGCTACGACTATGTTGCGGGTTTCGGCTTCCGTCGGACCCCATCCCCAGGCTCCGGGTCCAACCATCTCGTCCCCTCGCCTACCCAGCGCCGCACGTGGGAAGTCAACACCGATGTGCGCATGAAAATCCTCTCTGACCGTCAGGATCGCATCGAAAGCCGCCAGTCCGGCTCTGAAGCCATGCAGGAATCGCTGGACGACCGCATGGACATGATCTCGGAGCGTCAGGACGTCGATTCCATGCGCATCAGCAGCATCCGCAAGGACCTCGAAGAGATTCAGGACGCGCTGCGCAACGGGTTTCGTGGGACTTGGACCAGCGATCATCCCGCATTCTCCAGACCGGAGCGTGGTGGTCGTCCCACGGGGCTGGCAAAGAAAGCCCGCGCTCATCCTTTGCGAGGCGCGAAGGGGAGCTCCGTCAAGCACAAGCATTCGCGGGATGACGAAAATGAAGATGAGGGTGACGCGGTTCCGTGTCCCAAGCGCCGCAAGCCGTCGCCCTCGGCTGGGACTAGACCTATCGTCCTTCCTCCCAGTGATCACTTTAGCGATAGCGACACGGAGATGATGGACAGCGAGGATATCAGAGTCATCGAGTGCGCAACGGTTTATGCCATGGCAAAGAACGCGAGGCCTACTACAAAGGGCGAAGCGAAGGGCAAAAAGGCGGCGTCCAAGGCTCCCGCCCCGGCCCCTGCTCCCGCCCCCGCTCAAAACAACCCACAAGCTCCCGCTCAACCTCCCCGGCATGCTCATCCTCGCTACGGACTGAGGAACCTCAACCAAATGCAGGAGGATAGGGAGAGGAGAGAGGCGGCGAAGCAGGCTGCCGACGCAGCGCGACGACAAGAGGCGCAAGATAAGAGATTAGCCGCGAAGAGGAAGAGAGAGGTGGCGGCGCAGCAGAGAGAGGGGCGCAATAAGACGGAGACTGCGAAGAGGGAGACAGATGCGGCGGCGAGGGCGAAGGGAGCGGCGAACAGGACTGCGAGGAGGGAGAAGAGTGGATCTCAGCCGGCTCCTCCTCCACAGCAGGATCAGCAGCAGAATGAGGGACAAGATCAAGAACAGCAAGACGACGGCCAACAGCAGGACGATGGCCAGCAACAGGACGATAGTCAACAAGATGCTGGTCAACAAAACGGCAGACAGCAGGACGACCAACATCAGGACGGCGAACAGCAAGATAACGGCCTGCAAAGCCAGCAGCAGCAAGAGCCGTGTCAAGAACATGAGGAGGATAATGAGCAACAGGATGAGCGACAGGATGAGCAGCAGGTCGAAAACGATCAGCAAGACAACCAGGTGCAGCAAGCTGGCGAGGTGCAGGAACAGAAAGATGAAGAACCATAACAAGGAGAGGGATCTAACATGAGCAACGATTCACGGGCCGGCGAGGAAGGGGGTGGGGGGGGGGGGGGCAGAACTGTCCACAGCAAGACAAGTCGAGGAAGAAAAGGATGAGGAGCCCCAGCGAGAAGAAGGTCAGAATACAAGCAACACAAATCATGATTCAGTCGATGAACAAGTAGAGGACGGGGCTGGAGGGGGGGCAATTAGCCTTCATCAAGACGCCAGGCAGGACGACGACGTGGAGGATGATGATGAGGGCCACCAAGCTGACATATAAGCAGAGCAGTGCCAGAGCAACGGAGGGAATAGAACGCTAAACAAACGTACAAGGTCAGTAGGAATCTGCCGGGATAGGCAATGAAGAATACGAAAGGGGTGGTGGAAAAGAGTTGAGTTGTATTTTCTCGTGCCTTGTACCCCTTAAAGTGATGGCAAGAATCTTTCTCAGTTCATCTAGACGCTCATAGTTAATTCTTCCCCTAGATGTTGGAGCATTAGTCTATGTCCCTCAAGTCAACAGCAAGACCCCTTTCAGTCCCCCATAACCAACCAACCAAACCATTCCATAAACCTTCCATCCACGTAAGCCCGGACCCATCTCCAGAAGGCTCACCTTTCGGAGCAGGCAGACAAAAGAGACCCCTCGCGTGCCCCGTCCCCCTCGCATACGCCATGCCAAACACAACCCTCGAATGGCCTTTCCCAGACACGAACGCCATCTCTAGCAACCTCGCCCTCTGCACCATCACAACATCATGAAGATACATCGGCGTCGACGGCTCAACCAGCGGCCGCGACCTCCACCGAAGCTCTCCCTTCTGCTCATCCCACTTCCTCCTCCTTCCGACCCCTTTCACCGGCGCCCGCTGCACCCTCTCATTCTGCCAAACCCTCTTCTGCGCCCTCCGCTCCGGCGTGCGTATCCTCTGCTCCTCCCACCGCGCCCCTTCGACATCCCAATAACTCCCGCCCCCGTCAATCTCCCTCTCATCCCACCCTTCAACCTCGCTCGTCTGCCACCCAGAAGACCGCCGCCTCTCACTCATCCGCGGCCGGCGGGGCTGCATCCTCCTCCTCTGATGCTGGCCCGCCACCTCCAGAAGCGGCGCCCGTTCGCGCTGCGACCGCTCATGCGCCGCGGTGTACATCGTGGCGCACGTGCTTGACGTGTAAGTCGACATCCAGGACGGCGAGGCAGTGTACATGGCCGCGTACACCGGGACCGCGGCGCCGTTTCTCGGCGTGGGAGCCTCGTCGTCCGGTGGCGGGAGGAGCACCTCGGGCACGGGGGCGGGAGCGTCGGAGCTGGTGGCGCGGGGAGGGAAGCAAGCATTCTCCAGCGACGACTTCCTCGCCCCAGCGCTCGAGATTTGTTGGCGCCGTTTGCATCGTTTGCAGAGATGCTTCCTGTCCCTGCACCGCGCACACGGGACCTCTAGAGAAGGCGCGCACTCGTTGTCCTCGTCGCTGCTGGATTCTGAGTCGTCCGCGGGAAAGACGTCCCAGTACATCGAGTCCATCTCGGAGCGCCAATGCTATCCGGAGTAATCTTAACAGCCTGGAAGACAGCGAGAGAGACAAGACTGTCAGAGGTTAAAGGAAACGACGGCCTTCCGTAATGACAGGTGTGAGAAGATCAGACGAACATGTGATTGAGACCGACTTCTTTCGTGAGTGAGTTGACGAGATGTATGATATGAAGGAATGGAAAAAAGGGTCGAGGCAGACTCAATGTGCGAGACAAAATGTGAGACATGCATTTGGGGTAGCTCAGCCAAGAACGGCCCGTCGATGACTGCACCACCTGATTTGCGGGAAGGAGGCGCCGGATTACGCCAGCCATCTGCGCCGGCGGGCTCCGTGTGCCTGAGGAAGTAGCCTGTATTGACTAATCTCGAGCTGTTCTATTTTTACAGCAGTCAAGTGGAAGCTAACTTGCTAGAATTTGACGTGGTTCTAGCTCTGAGGCGGCGTTTTGAGATTTAAAGCGGGAAGGAGTCGGCGGAGGTACGGACATCTTCAACCTCACCTTAGAACACCCTCAAGGAGAGAACGAATTTCTCACCACAAGCCTCACTAAAAAGAAATGGCAGCAACACCTCTTTTTAGAAGATGGACAGCTTCTACATCAAAAATTAATCAGATCAAAATGACAAAAGATAACGCGACGGTCATCCGTTAGGCCCTCCTCGCTTTTTTGTTTTTTTAACGAGATTCGAACTGAGCGCCCCTACCCTCAACAGAGTAACCAGAAACTCATCGGGTGGTATTGGTTTTAAATTGTTAGAGATGCTTTACCAACTAGACCATTCGGCCCATCTCTTAGTTGTAACTGGTTGAGAGTGCTTGCACCAAAGCCATACAAGTAGCATACTGCGCGCAACACACACGCGCAGGTCCAAATTTTTGCATTCCCTTCTTCTCCCAACGCCAAGCAATGCCTACCAAAAATACAAGAAAGCCCGCACGCTTCTCTGGATGTAGCCCCTGAGAGCCTCACCCCTCTTAGTCCCAGTACCGGATATCCCCCTCCGCGCCCGCCGAGACGAACTTGCTCGTCTCCTGAGGATGCCACGCGACGCACGTGACGGCCTGGTCGCCGGCCTTCAGCTTGTGGTACATCTTGCACGTCTTCCAGTCCCAGAAGCAGACGTAGCCCTGCGTGTCGCCGCTCGCCAGGAACTGCCCGTCGGGCGACACGTCGACGTCGATGGCCGTGCCGGCGTTGTTGTGCCCTCGGTACGACTTCTTGCGGTTCTGTCGGAACTTGTCGTTGGCCCCGTACACGACGATCTGGTTGTCCGACGACTGGAACGCGACGTACTTGCCGCTCGGGTGCGGCGCCGCCCGCGTCATCGGGTACATGTACGGCTCCGCGATGTACTTGATCGGCACGGGGATGTTGTAGTCCCACGCGCGCAGCGACTTGTCGTCTGAGGTCGTCATGAAGCGCCGGCCCTCGTCGACGAAGGTGATTGTGTTGATTGCGGCCAGATGGTGGTCTGCATACATGTTAGCATATACCGGGAGCGAGAGAAAACAACACAGAGAAACATACCGTATTCTTGCACAATCTCGTTGCCGGCGCGGGTATCCCACTGGATAATCTTCTTATCCGACATGCCGGCCACAAACTCATGCGCATGCTCCGCAGACGGGTTGAAGCGCACGACGTGCGGCGTCTTGCCCGTCGAGAACTTGCCCAGACAGCTGCCCGTCTCCGTGTCCCACAGCTTGATCTGCCGGTCGAAGCTCGCCGACAAGAACCGTGTGCCGTCGTTGTTGAACGTCGCGTCCGCCACCGCCTTCGAGTGGCCCGAGTACGTCCGCAGCAGCTCGCGCTCGTGGTAGACGTCCCAGATCTTGACCGTCGAGTCCGCCGAGGCCGAGAGCAGCAGGTGGCCCGAGCCCGGGAAGAAGCGCAGCGCCGTGACGGCCTTACTGTGGTCGCGCCACGTGTGAATCTGCTTCTTGGGGATGTAGTTCGTGATGCTGCCAATCTCCTTGCGCAGGTCGACGTCCAGGTCCTGCGGGACGTGCATGTACGTCCGGCCCTGGTAGTCCCGCTCCGCGGCGCCGTGGAACGTCGTCGTCTCCTCGCCCATCTCCTCGACCTCCTTCCGCCTAGTCAGGGCGGCCTCGGGCGCGCGCACGACGGTGCCGCTCTCCACCACATCGTCGTCGTCCGTGACTTCTTCGTATTCCTCGTCGCTCGCGAGCTCCTCCCCCTCGCGGACGACCTCGTACTCCTCGCGACGGTACCGCGCCCAGGGTCCGACGTATGCGCCGTCGCCCTCTGCAATCGACGCGTCGCCCTTCTTCTCGCGCCCGGAGCGTATCCTCGCCGCCTCCTCCTTGACCGCCTCGCCCGTCTGGGACTCGCGCTCCGGTCCCCCTTTCCGCTCGATCGCGCGGTGCTTGCTGCGGAAGGTATGTTCTGACAGGAAAGTCTCTTCCGCCGTTCCCGTGAGAACGTTTTTGCGCTTCAGGGTGGTGTTTGTCTCGTCTTTGAATGGGTTCGCAGGCCCCAGCTTCGGACGGGCGAGGTCTTCGCCGGTGTAGGGAACGACGGCGTGGTCGGGCTCTGCTTCCTGGCGCACAATCAGGGCGTCCTGAGGAGCCATGTTTGGCGTGTACTCTCCAAAGCCCGACATCTTGGATACTGTCGTCTAGTTGCGGGGATTTGGGGGTTGAAAGGCGGTTGCGTCGCGGTTGGAGGATTTGGTCGCGATTGTCAAGGTCCTGGTCGCATCTGCAAAAGTTGATGTCACGTGACTCTGATATCAGGCCTGAGCTTTCGCTGCGATGCAAGCTCCTGGGTGCAGAAAAGCTTAAACAGCTACAGCCTACGAGCACAGGACACTCACGAGTCGAACCCTGGAAAAGTTGCTGGCAAGCTTTGGTGTTTGATGATGATGGAAGCAGTGATAGAGGAACAAGAGGCACAATAAAACATCTGTCATTACTCAATTATCGCAACCCGCCGCTCCCAGGACCAGCCGGCCTGGCAGCAACATAAAGTAAACAGCTAGGTATTTGTCTTTCGCATCATAAACTTCCACAACCATTCCCTCCTCCCCTTCGTCACATTCCTTTCCCGTTCATCATCATCAGAATCCCAAACGGAGGCGATCATAAACCAAACCTCTGCCCGTGAACTCCGGGAGACCAAGGCGCGGGCACCCGCGCCGTATTCTCCGCCCCAGACCCCCACCACCGCATCCTGGTATCATGACCCCATGTCTAGCAGTTGCCTGCTTTATGCCTTCATAATGAGCCACCTCGTAGCGTCCGGCTGCGGGGAGGCGCAGCGTCTGCGTTTCGGTGTGCTCACTCTCGTCCACACGGCATGGTAATGTATGTACTGGAATCCGTCCCGTTGTCGTTCGCAGTATGCGATTCATCTCTAGTGAGCCTCGTCACGGATGAGGGCGACGATCATGCTGTAGAGGTAGAAGAAGAACATGACGAGGTGGAAGCCGAGCTTCACGAAGGACTCCTGCAACGGTGTTAGATCTGGGCATGCATCAACCTCTACTAGAGTAGTGCTTGCTTACCTTCTTGTGGACGTTCAGCTTGCGGAAGATCTCGGTAGCATCCAGCAAGTGGGTGTTGTCGACAATCCTAGGCCAAAGTCAGCTTTCATCCCTTCTCCACAGTGGTCTCAAGCATGTGACGTACTTCTTGATGTTGTAGGCAAGCAGCGGCAGGTTCAGGATCAGCGGCACCCAGTAGCCGTTAATCAGGAACAAGAACGTCAGGAATCCGTGGACAGCGGCTTCGGGGATGATGTAGGTGTTGAGGCGGTTGCAGAGGTCAATGGGGTTGATGTAGTCGCTGTAGGAGGTGAGGGTTAGCTGTCAATTGTCCCATCTTTGAAGTGATCGAGAGCACGAGCGCGCTCTTGCAGCCGTCTGCAGCAGCTGCAGCTTGTCTAAGCTCGCAGGGCAGCGGCCGGCGGCGATGCACGGTGGGCGCGCGTCGACTCGAGGGCAGGAGGAGAACAACGTACCATTCCAGATCGCTGTACATGATGGTGAAGAAGACTTGGAGGAACAGGTTGACGGCATTTATGAGGACGGCGAGGAGGTATAACCACGCTTCGCCAGACATGTTGACGGCTTTGGCAGCGAGCTGCGCTTGATCGAGATGGAGAAGATGAGGTGTTTAGTTGGCAGAGATACAGACAGCACTGATCGGGGGTGCTGTTGTTGGAGATAGGAGGGGAAGCTCTCGTCTCTTTTTTTCTGCGCTCAAAAGGGCTGGTTTGGAGCTGTGTGCGATGCGGGCGGGTGGAATGCTTCGACGTCACTGGGGTGATGTACGAGGGAAGCTCTGCGCCGAGGCAACCGTTGCAGTCAGGAATTGCAGTCCGGGGGATGCTGCGGAAGCTGCAGAAAAGTGCGAGAGAGATAGATAGACAGAGCCAGACGACACGTGTGGGTACCCAAGGGGTCGATGGCGAAGCCGAGTCGTGGTTGGATCTTGTTGGCTTTTTGGTGGGAGAAGGCAAGAAGCAGCAGACGGGGACGGAGACGGAGGAGACTCTGCTCTAGCAGGCGAGTTGAGGCAAGGCGAGGCGAGGCGAAGCCAGGCGAGGTAAGAGAGGCAAAGGCAAGGTTAGGTAGGAAGCGAGCCGAACAGGGTCGAGGACACCACACAAGCAAAGCTAGGTACTGAGGTGAGGTAGTGCGCCGTTGACTGAGGTTGGGCCGTGGAAAATCGGGAGGGTGTGGGTGTGGTGCGCGCGGGCAAAGGCTACGGGGCTAGGTTTTCCCTTCTGATGATGAAAGAGGTTCCAGTGTCGATGCCTTGCTCCAGCACACCACCACCACCACAACAACCATCAGGGCAGCGTGAGGTGCCCTCCATTCAACTGAACCTCCAAGCAGCGGGCAGGCCCAGATTGGGCTCCCTGCCTGGCCAGCAGCGGCCAACACCCGACCAACAGCCAGTCAGCGCCCTGGGATTGCGCCCCGCCAGCCTGCACCTCACAGGTGCACCATACTCACCAGATGCA